CATGTTAACATTTCCCACATGTTTGGATATTACTTTTTAATCTCTCATCATCATCACTTGGCTATTCCTCCATTAACATACTTATCTATGAATGTAACCTATGCTTCTTGAAGGTGTTATCTACAAAATACAATGTTGTTTWCAGAGACTTGTTTATTACCCTTGTTTGTTCAAATATCACAACACTTAATTAGTTATTCCCTGAATTTAAATTAACCCATGCTCAATATGATATTGTCTTACAGATATGCAAATGTTACCTTTCCTCAAATATCACCCAGGGAAATAAGGTTTACTTTCACCCTCCCACATGTTATCTCAAAGACTAAAGTCTTACTCAGTGCTTACTCTGTTACCTACATATCCTTGCAAGTATATTCTGCTCCATGGTTCATATTCACTGACACTTAGATGTCTCCCATTAACCCAACTAATATCCATCGTCATTCAGATGCTTTTCATGCTTACCACAGAGACACTGATATTACATTGATGTCCATGTGCATGGATGACCAGTCCTTCCAGGACAGAGGCATCAGTAGCTTTAGTGTTCTGTGGAGTACTTTCTTAGAAAATCCTGGTTTTTATTTTATGTTACATTATCTGGAATTTTGTGCTCAGACTTCTCTGCCAACGTCTGGACAGAACAAATGCAAATCTTCCAGACCCCAGAAGAACTGAACTGCCCCAGTCTTCTGAGTGCACTGGTCTGGTTTCTACTTTCCTCTCATTACCAAGAAGTTTATGCCTAAGAATAAACTATGAAGGCATTCATATCTGTTCCCCAGAAGCTGCTACCACCCTTCCTTTCACCCCGAGTTAGCTCTGGGTTCACTGTGGCCACTCATCTACTATGAYGTGTGCGCATACACACACACACACACCCCTTAATTTTTTAGTTTTGTGTGTGACTCTTAAAATTAATAGACTATTTTTAGTTTTGAGTTCTCAGAAAATTGAGCAGAAAATAGAAACTTCCTATATACTCTTCCTGCTACTCCCACATACAACAGTCATCRAGTTTATATTATTAACATCTTACGTTAGAGTGGCACATTCATCACAACTGATCAGCCAATACCGACACATACAACTAAGCACTGTATTTCACATTAGACTTCATTTTTGTGTTATACAGTTCTATGTGTTTTAAGAAATGTATAATGATGCATATCTACTGTTATAATATCATACAGAATACTTTCTCTGCCTACAAAATSTCTTGTGTTTCACCTAGTCATCCCTCACTTTCCAAACCCTGTCTCTAAGATTACTTTTAATTAGAATTTTTCATGTCCACTATTTGCTCAACAGCAAAGATCTAGAAATACAGCAATGGCTTGGAATAAGATAACAGCTAGAAATGCCCAGTAAAATAGCAAAGTGTTGTACAATTTCTGGCCATTTTTACTGGGACTTTGGCTTCTAGCTTTCAGGAATCCTCAGACAGATTAGGTTCATAAGGTGAAGCTTTCTGGTCTACTATAATTAGCCAAGCTCAAGGACATAGACATGGGGCACATCAGCTGGATTAAAGAATGAGAAATATGCTTTTAACATTTCAGAATGCTCTACCAACTTGAGATGTAATAATTGCATCGAGAATTAGTTGAAGAGAGTTCTAGAGGAGGATGTGAAGAGGTGATGGAACTAGACAGATAAAGGAGGTAGGCAGGGTAGAGATGGAGAGTCAGTGGACTTGGAAGAGACACAGAGAGTACAAGAGAGATCACTARCTCTTTTATGTTTTCTGGTTCCAAGAACTTCTTTGACAAAATCCCCTTTCCAATGGTTCATTGTTTCTTCCTATATAAGCATGCACGTGCATGCGCACACACACCCACACACTATTTGTCCATAATCCTTCCTTAGAGGAAAAGTAATGCATCCAAAATCACAGCCTGTCATTGACCCCAAACACCCTCCATCATGTGTCTTCATGACAAAGGTAGAGAAGGGAGGGCATACTGGAGCACCTAACAGAAGTGAAGGATGGATAAAGAGGAGGAAGACAGGTGCTTTTTTGTCCTGAGAGACAGGTTCATTAACAAGCATGTATTGACTACCTTCTACATGCCAAGMATTTTGCTGACTGCAAGTGATATCCTAGAAAAAGAGATGAACATTTTCCCTGCCCTCAAGAAGTCCATAGTCAAGTGAGGAAGACAGAAAAGTAAATATAGTAATAGTAAATGTCATGATAGAATATAGAGAAAGGGAGAAAGAAGCATTGGAATTGATATTTGGGAGAAGTAATAGAGTAAGAAATGTCATGATAGAATATAGAGAAAGGGAGAAAGAAGCATTGGAATTGATATTTGGGAGAAGAAGGAGGCAGTATTATGAATGACAAAGCAGTGAAGGAGCCAGAGGAAGACAAGCATTTTAGGGATCCAGAGACATAGCCTCTATTCTGATTCAGCTCCTTACAASTATGTGTTCCTGAGCAAGTAATGTGACTGCTGAGTTCAGTTTGGAGATTTCTTAAAAATAACACTTACATGATGCCTACAACAACTTCTGAATTGGTTGATGATATTTATAAGAAAATGATTCCATTGGGAGCTCAGAAAAGAGACAGCCAATGTATGTGGCTGGAGAAGAGAGGGCTACCCCCTCTGTACCTGGGAAGGTCTGTCCCCTGACATCTCTCCCTTCAAGCTCCAGTCTCCCTCATGCTGAGGCCATAGGGATAGGTGATTCCATCTACTTCAGTTCAAATTCAGTTTTGTGTAGGTCTGCATGGCTATGATATGGAGATCCAAAGATGAATCCACCTCCCAAAAGGCAATGACACAAATGCATAGTGCCATTCTCCTGTCTCCTCTGAGTCATCCAGCAATGTGAGGGATCTCTCCTGTGAGCTCCCATAGCACTTTGTTTGTCCTTCAGCCTCACTCTTCATCATACTACATGGCAATTATCTGTTTAAGTATTTGAGTTTCTGTTTCCACTATGAAATTTCAGAGGGCAGGGAGTTTGCCATATTCTTCCCTTTGTCCCCAGTACTTGGCACAAAGGAAATCCTCTGCAAATGCTTATTGAGTGAGAATGAATGTATGGAGATGACTGAAATATAAGGCAGAAAGTAGAAAGGGCTCCACTAGATGCATAAAGAGCATGCCTGGGTCAGAAGAAGGGGAGATTAGTACCTGTCCAGAAGGGCCTTATAGAGGAAGTGGCAGTCAGTCTGAGACTTGACATGGGGTGAGTAGGCATTAACCAGATACAGAAAATAAGTTTGTGATAGGGGCAGCAGTAGGGGGTTGGTGAAAGACTGAGAAGCCAACTTGAGCAGGGAAGGAGTCACGAGTGCATAAGATGCATTCAAGAAACTGAGTCATCCAGTTTAGCTTCAGTGGGTACAGTGCAAGGAGGAGGTGGGAAGTGGGAGGTTCAGTTTGGAGCATCCTGATGACATGCTAAAGGGTGGCAGACAGTACAGAGTAGTGAAGGATCTTTTGTTTTGGAAGGGCTGTTTGTTTTAGAGAATAAGGACTTGATCTGATCTGGCTCAAAAGATAATGGGTGGTCAACAATGTCAAATAATACAGATAGGTCAAATAGTATAGATTAAGAAGGAACCTTTAGATTTGGTAGTTAAAATATTAGAGATCTTGAGAAGAAGTGATGGGGGACAGAGCCTTGTATAGCAATGGATTGGGTGGCTGGGAAGACACAATAAAATCCTTTCAAGCAGTTTGCCTGCAAAAGAAGGGAAGCATTTGGAAACAACCCTTGAGAAGATACAGACTTTCTTAAGGAAGAGTAGAGTTATGCCAACTTAACTAAGCCTTAAGGGGTTAGAAAGGTAAAGGATTTAAGTTCACCTCTTACTAAGGGGGTGGGGAGAGTATGTTCTTGGGATGTAGGGATCTGGCTGGGTGGTGAGGTTGGGGATAAGTTGGGTTGGGGGCTCTAGCTGAGTGGAGCCAGAACCCCTGATGCTATCTCTCCCTTTTCTGCCCAGAACTGGAGCTGGCCATTAGAATCACCCTTTATGCAGTGATCTTTCTGATGAGTGTTGGAGGAAATGTGCTCATCATTGTGGTCCTGGGATTGAGCCGCCGCCTGAGAACTGTCACCAATGCCTTCTTGCTCTCACTAGCAGTCAGTGACCTCCTGCTAGCTGTGGCTTGCATGCCCTTCACACTCCTGCCCAATCTTATGGGCACATTCATTTTTGGCACAGTCATCTGCAAAGCGGTTTCATACCTCATGGGTGAGTGAGACAACTACCCTAACCCTTGATCCTCTCCTTGACAAAGGTAGGGGTCTTCTCTAATTGGGGGAGAGGGTGAGGAAATAACACTGGTGAGTGTGTGGTGCAAATTTCCGAGGCCATTCCTTCTTTTTCCCTTGCCTAGGAGTGTCTGTGAGTGTGTCCACGCTAAGCCTTGTGGCCATCGCCCTGGAACGGTACAGCGCCATCTGCCGACCACTCCAGGCACGTGTGTGGCAAACACGCTCCCATGCAGTTCGTGTGATCTTAGCCACGTGGCTGCTGTCYGGCCTGCTCATGGTACCCTACCCTGTGTACACTGCTGTGCAGCCAGTTGGACCTCGAGTGCTACAGTGTGTGCATCGCTGGCCCAGTGCCCGGGTGCGCCAGACCTGGTGAGGGTGCCCAAACGCTTTCTTAGAATACCTTCATCAGATGCTTMTGACCATTCTCCATAACAGTCCTCCAGTTGCTTCAAGAATCGTGCAATTCCCATTCTGCACCTACCACCCTGGAATTCTAATTTTGGGCCCCTCCCCAGTTATCTTGCCCTTCTCAGCAGCATCCCCAAACCCTACTCCTTCATCAGCTACCTGGCCACAGCCCTAGAGATACCAACCTTGGCTCTTCTGTGATAACAACTGATAGAAACCCATGTATTTGGACTGTGTTCTGTTTCTAGGTCGGTGCTGCTGCTCCTGCTCTTGTTCTTCGTCCCAGGTGTGGTTATGGCAGTGGCCTATGGGCTTATCTCCCGCGAGCTTTACTTAGGACTTCGCTTTGATGGAGACAGTGAAAATGAGAGCCAAAACCGTGTCCGAAGCCAAGGAGGGCTGCCCGGTGGGGCTGGACCTGGTGAGCAAGATCCTAGAGAGGTGGGACTTTGGAAAGGGTGGAGCCTATAGTAGGTGGGGCTATAAGGTGCCAGGTTAAATGGAGGGCCTGGGCAAGTGGAGATTGGGTTGGAGGTTAGTATGACTCTGCATTACACTCTGACAGTTTACCCTTTGTGCCCAGGTCCTGTTCACCAGAATGGGCGTTGCCGAAATGAGTCTGGCTTGACTGGTGAAGACAGCGATGGCTGCTACGTGCAACTTCCACGTTCCCGTCCYGCACTAGAGCTGACCACACTGACCGCGCCTACTGCTGGGTCAGGACCTGGCCCCCGGCCCACCCAGGCCAAGCTGCTGGCCAAGAAGCGCGTGGTGCGAATGTTGCTGGTGATCGTTGTGCTTTTTTTTCTGTGTTGGTTGCCAGTGTACAGCGCCAACACATGGCGTGCCTTTGATGGCCCAGGTGCACACCGGGCACTCTCYGGGGCCCCCATCTCTTTCATCCACTTACTAAGCTATGCTTCGGCCTGTGTCAACCCCCTAGTCTACTGCTTCATGCACCGTCGCTTTCGCCAGGCCTGCTTGGACACATGTGCCCGCTGTTGCCCGAGGCCTCCTCGAGCTCGCCCCAAGCCTCTTCCAGACGAAGACCCTCCTACCCCTTCCATAGCTTCCCTGTCCAGGCTGAGCTACACCACCATCAGCACCCTGGGGCCTGGCTGAGGGGTGGCAGTAGTGTGGGCTGAGGCAGAACAAACAAGCCCTTAAGCACAAGATCCCATCCACATGCACAATAAATACAAACCAAAACTGACACCCAACAGCATGGACTAGCCCCTATACAGGAAAAGGTAAAGGAAGCAGGAAACAAGCTTATACAGAAAATGAGGCATACTTCTATTATAGATGGAGCCTATCCCCAGAGATCTGGCACTGACCATGGACAGCATCCCTAGCAGGGAAATATCCCTAGTCAGTGGGAACTTTGACAAGACCTGACCTGCCCTTTGCACACACATACATTAACAGCGCTGATTCTTTAGGGGCTATGGAGCCTGGCATAGGAGTGACTCTGTATGTTCTAGGCTGTCCCAAGTTTGACCTCACAAACCTTTCCTCAACTAGCACTGAAAATACCAACAGGCCTAATCTCACATCTCCCTGATCAATAGGCTGTTTAGCACTGAAAACTACTTCATCTCTTTCCAGTTAAGGACTGTGGACCTGCCTTCTCCTCCTTCACTAGACTTCTTTTTAAAAAATAATAATAAACTTGGTTTCCTCCTAGACTTCCTTTCTGGACTTTTTCAGAGGCAGGTGAGGAGGTGTGGGATTTTGTGAAGTCCTCCCTGTCAAATCCCTTCCATAGCTTCCCAATCCTTTGCACCCCCCTGTGCCCAAAAGTCCTTGATTTGAGGCTAGACGGGAYAGGGTTTACTCTCTTTGAGTGTCACAGTAGCTGGGAGTAGATGTAGGAGGCAGGATATCCATGACATGTCCTGATTCCATTGTTAAGGTACTATAAGCATGGATGCTTATTAAAATTCTGATGAAAAGATAAAAGAGGAAGCATTGCATAATAAGACTCAGCATATTCAAGGAGTGTCTGAAACACCAGGGATCAGACCATGACAGGTGTATAGAAGTTAAGAGTAGGACCTTTTTTTATGGTACATTTTCTATCCTCCAGCATCAGAGCCTGGCCAAAATCCACCTAATGAAAGCACCCTGACTGGCTATAGCAAAGAGGCCTAAGGGCAGAGGCTTGGCTGGGTTGGGGGCTGAGGGGACTGTACCCGAATAGGAGTCTGAGAACCCAGACTCTGATTTGACTGTAAAACTGATCGAGCCCCAGAGAGAGGCAGAGACCAGCGACATCACCTCTATACACACACAGGAACAGAAGACTTCACCAAGGAACATACCTGGATAATCAAGGGATAGTGTTATGAGAGGAGTTCCTTGACATGTCAGTCGTAAAAGGGTGTTGTGGTTTYGGGTATGTGGTATCCCCTAAAAGCTCATGTGTGAGACAATGCAAAAACATTTCAGAGGTGAATGATTGGATTATGAGAGTTGCAACCTAATCAGTGAATTAATCCACTGATGGATTAACTGGGTGGTAACTATAGGGAGGTAGGATCTGACTGGAAGAGGTAGGTCACGGGGAGTGTGCCTTTGGGACTTATATTTTGTCCCTGGTGTGCTGAGATCACTTTCACTGCTTCCTTGTTGACATGTGCTGAGCTGCTTTCCTCCACCACGCTCTTCTGCCATGATATTCTGCCTCATCTCAGTCCCAGAGCTATTGAGTCATCCGTCTGTGGACTGAGACAACAAGCTGAAAATAAACTTTTCTTCCACTACATTGTTCTTGTCAGATCTTTTAATCATAGAAATTTAAAAAAAAAAAAAACCTGACTAAAACAGAGGAAACAGACCTAGAGGAAAGCAAGCAGCTCAAGACAATAAATTAGAGCAAGATAGCAATGACGATAGTGACACTGAGCTGGAGATGGGGAAAGAGCCACACCCATGAGGGACACATCCATGCTTTGTAGGAGGTAAAGTATACACAATTTCGGTGCCTTTTCTAAAAAAAGGAAAAWGAAAAATAACAGATACCAAATTGCTAAGACCCTGCCCAGGGCCTCAGTAGGGGCCTGTGTTAAGTGAGGAGCCTGAAACCTAAACCTTCGTAGCCAATATACCTCCGAAGTCCACCCAGTAACTACTCTGGAGAGGAGCTGGATGGAGAGGACAGTGAAAAAGGAGAGTGGGTCTTCTGTTTACCAGGGCTGGGATTGCTCCCATCCATCCTTCCACAGGGCTCTGGGCTGCAAGAGGCAGGAGGAAGGGAAAAAAAGGAGGGAGAAGGCGTTGCAAGCTGTCAACCTAAGACAGTGCTGGTTAAAAATAGAATCCCAGCTGGTCTGAGGAGCTGAAGGGAGATACTGAGCCGTAGTCTCTCATGCCAACTTTTCTCTGCAGCAGCAATARGCTTGCCTCTAGTTTCCCCAGCATACCTGACTCTTCCTTATAAAGGGATATTGACAGCTACCCCGACGTTAGCCCCTTCCTCTGGACTTTGTTAACTTGGACTTTTGGTGACCACCAGAGGCAGCGGGAGCTGTGTGGGGAAGGGCTGGGTCCAGCCTGTTTAAAGTGGAATGTGGTTCAGGCCTGACCGAGAACCCAGCACACGGGCATAGTCTGACAAAGTCAGCCCTTTGGTCTGTGAATAACATCTCCATCAGCCGGCTCCATGCCATGTTCAGTCACCAGATGTGGAATCTTTGGCTTCTCCCCCATCTAATTTTCCATTTCTTGAAGCCTGATAAAGTATATCAGGTCTAGATTTCATACCACTGTCCCCATGAACTCCTGCCCAGTCACTCTAGAAAAGCATATATGTTTTCACAGTACTTGCTGTTTTCCCTCTTCTATTGTAGTTATTCATGTCTCTGTCTGATTTCTCCTATTAGGCTGRGAACAGGATAATGTAGTGGAGAGATGATTGACCCAGGTGATGGAGGGGGAGGTGGTGAAATCTAATGCTATGGTACTATGTGACAGGCACTTTATAGACACTAATTCATTTCACTCTTAGAACACACCTCCAGAACATTACTGCTCTTTTGAGAGGTGAAAAAAGTGAAGCTGAAAATGCTTAAGGGAGTTACATGAGGTCCTGTAGCCAGAATAGAGCCAAGAACTGAGCTTGGGTATCTGAATCCAAAAACTTTTTCCATTATATTGTGTTGCTTTCTTTCAATCCTGGAAGACCTAGATTCCAGTCCCTACTTACCTTTTAAAAGTTGTATGAATTAGTGCATTAGTTATCTCAGTGACTTTTAATTGGAGCTATAAGATAGGAATAGTGACATTAACTTCACACTGCCATTTTGGAAATTCTAACAATGTTCACCAGGTGTTTATCACTGCACTAGGCACATAGCAAAAGAAAAGTTGACTTGAGGTTGCTTCAAGACCCAGAAGAAGAAACAATACAAGAAAACAAAKCCCTCAGCAAATAGTTAGAACTATAGTTTGGTCTTGAATTCCCCCCAAAAGGCCCAKTTGTTGAAGTCTAAGTTCCCAACTTGGTGAAAGAGAGAGGAGACGGAAACTGTAAGTGATGGGGATTAGAAGGAGGACTTTGGGCCCTTGGATCTTCAGGGCACTCAAAGGCGTGTCATTGAAGGGGACATTGGGATAACTGGCCTCTGCTTTTCTCTCTTTTCACTTCCCAGKCATCATGAACTGAGGAGCTTTGCCATGCCACACCTCTTCACCGTGATGTGCTGCCTTTCCACAAGCCAAAAGCAATGGAGTCATTTGATCATGAACCTCTAAAATTCATGAAATTTTTTTTAATTAATCAATTTATTTWTTTTACAGTAGAATGCATTTTGACATATTGTATACAAATGGAGCACAACTTCTCATTCCTCTGGCTGTATATGTTGCAGAGTTACTCTAGTAGTGTAATCCTACATGTTTACAGGGTAATAATGTCTGTCTCATTCTACYATCCTTCCCATCCCCACAATCCCATCCCTCCCCCCACTCCCCTCTACACAAACCAAAGTTCCTTCGTTCTTCCCTATCCACCAACCAACTATGCATCAGCATCTGCTTATCAGAGAAAACATTTAGCATTTGGTTTTGGGGGATTGACTTATTTCAATTAGCATAATATTCTCCAGTTCCATCCATTTACCTGCAAATGCCATAATTTAATTCTTCTTTAAGGCTGAATAATATTCCATCCATTGCGTATGTGTTACACATTTTCTTTATCCTTTCATCTGTTGAAGGGCATCTAGGTTGGTTCCATTGTTTAGCTACTGTAAATTGAGCTGCTATAAATATCGATGTGGCTGCATTACTGTAGTATGCTGATTTTAAGTCCTTTGGGTATAAACCAAGGGGTGGGATAGMTGGGTCAACTGGTGGTTCCATACCAAGTTTCTGAGGAATCTCCATACTGCTTTCCATAGTGTATGCACCAATTTGCTGTTCCACCAGCAAAGTATGAGTGTACCTTTYCCCCCACATCCTTGCCAACACTTACTATTGCTTATATTCTGGATAATTGCCATTCTGACTGCAGTGAAATGAAATCTTAGAGTAGTTTTGATTTGCATTTCTCTAATTGCTAGAGATGATGAAGATATATGTGTTTTGATCAGTTGTATTTCTTCTTCTGTGAAGTGTCTGTTCAGTTCCTTAGCCAATTTATTGATTGGGTTATTTGGTGTGTGTTTTTCTTGGTGTTAAGTTTTTTGAGTTTGTTATATATCCTGGAGATTAGTTCTCTGTCTAGTGTGTGTGGTAAAGACTTTTTCTCATTCTGCAGGCTCTCTCCTCACATTAGTGATTGATTCCTTTGCTGAGAAGTTTTTTGGTTTGAATCCATCCCATTCATTAATTCTTGATTTTACTTCTGGTACTTTAGGAGTCTTGTTCAGGAAATCAGATCCTAAGCCAACAAATTCATRAAATCTTTAAAACTATGAGCCAAAAATAAAACGTGCTCTTTATAAGTTGATTATCTCAGGCATTTTATTAYAAAAATAGAAAGCTGGATAACATAAACAGTCATGAATAACTGAAAGGGACAGAACCCTGTGTCTGAGATGAGGTTTGGGGCCTGCTATAAGATAATTTTATAAAGTCAAGTCAGGATTTGAATCCAGRTCTGCCTGAACCCAAAGCTC